TTACCTTATGCTTTCTGGGGCTTATTTGTTATGCATGAGAAAAATAAAAAAAAATTAATAACAAAAATCATATGACCGATCTTAGACCGATCTTAAACCGGTCCTTCGATCAGTTCTGCGGTCCTATTGGTCCTCGGTCCAAGATCGATTCAGACCGGTCTTTTATAAGACTGATGCATCCCTAAAAAACTATAATTGGACAAAAATTATTAGAAGATTTAGAAAATAAAGTAGTTGAATTTCAAAATTTTATAATGAATGAATTTAAAAAACATAATTATAATTCCAATCAAATAGAAAATATAGATAAGACACCTATTTTCTTTGATATGATTAATAATACAACAATTAATATTAGAGAATTAAAAAACATTCAAATTAAAACAACAAGAAATGAAAATAATAGATTTACATATATTTTAGAAGTATTAGCTAATGAAATAAAATTACCACCAATAATAATTTTTAAAGAAAAAAAATATCAAAAAAATTATCTTTTGAATTTATTGTATGTATGCATAAAAAAGCTTGAATAGATAAATCATTAATGAAATATTGATTAGAAAATATATGGAACAAAAAATTTAATAATAGTAATTTATTTTTAATAATGAATTCATTTACTAGATATAAAACAACAAATATTAAAGAATTTTGCAAATTATCAAATATTAATATTGCAATTATTCCAGGAGGATTAATATTAATAATTCAATCTTTAGATGTTTCATTAAACAAACCATTTAAAAATCAAATGAGAGAACAATAGTATCAATGGATGGAAAAGAAAGATTTTGATTTGACAAAAAATGGAAATATAAAAAAATCAAATTATAATATAATATGTTAATAGATCCTTAATACATAGAAAAATATATCTAAAGAAATGATTATTAAATCCTTTTTAAAATGTAAAATTTTTAATTCAGATAATTTTATTATTTTAGAATCAAATAATCAAAATCAAATAGATAATAATAGTGAAATTATATCAAATAATAGTAAAAATATTATAGAAGAACAATATTATCCAATAATTTATATTGAAAATTAATAATTTTATTATTACACATATTAAAATAAAATTATATTATCTATTTTTTTTTATTTCTTTAATTATTAAATTCACTGTTTTTCTTAAATTTTTTCTTGTATTTAAGTTAATTTAAAAAAATATTAATCTTATAATAAATATATAGCATAAGCAATTAACTTGTGACATATCAATAATTATATATATATAATATTCTCTGTCTTAGAATTAATTCTATTATTATAATTTCATAAAATTATTGATATTGCATTAAAGAAAATTTATATAGATAAAATTAAATTAGATAAAATTTTTTAAAAAAATTTTTTATACAAACTTTAAAAAAAATATCCTTACTTATTATTTCTAACCATTACATTTTATCTTTTAAATCTTTAATTGGAAATGCTAATATATTATAAATTAATTTTTCTTAAAAAACTTTTATAATTATTAACAAATATCAATAATAAGTATTATCAACTTTGAAAATTGTAATAAATCTAAGAATTATTGATAAGTTAATATATATAAATAAGCAAAATAAAAAAAATAAATAAGAAGAAATATAATAATAAATTATATATTCAATATGTTAAATTTCTGATAAATTATTAACAAAATTAATAAAAAAATAATTTCACATTATTTTACTATTTGGTTTAAATTTGACATCAAAAAATTTTTAATAATAATTTTTATTGCAATTATATGCTTCTTTAATATAAATTTTTTATATATTTACTATAACTCTAAATTATAAAAATAAAAATTCAACTTTAGTATATAAATGATAATTATATTTGATCGTTAGAATAGACTTAAGCTCTCCAAAAATAAACTTAAACTAGTATTCAATAAGATCATTAAAAAGTTATCTATAGTTCAATATAGAATCTTGATTTTAGAATTAATCGTGAAATAGGAGTTGTTGAAATACAAAGATATTAATTTAATTGCAAATTTTTCTTTTTTTTAATATTAGATAAATCTGAAGGCACCTTTTTAGAAAAATTCTGTAGACATATCCTAATTATTATTTTTTTTTAATTAAAATTAAGTTTATTAATAAATATTTTATACTTTAATCAAAATAAAGGATTAAATATACCTTAAAGACAAAAATCATCAATAAATGAAAATTTCTTTGTAGCATGATGACAGAACTATCCTTGTAATCAATTAAGATTGAATTTATCATGAATTTTTTTTTCTAAAAAATATTGTAAATTTCTTTATTTAATATATGTAAATTCGTTTATTAAATAAAATAAAATTTTACTTAACATAGTTAATTTAATTAATAGAGTGAAGGAATAAAAAACAATATTTTTATTAATTAAGTATATTTTGTCAAATTATTTATTGATTTATTGAATAATTAATCCATTTTTTGCCTGCCAAAACCATATGATTTTATGATAAAACTTATAAAAATAAAATCTGAAATTAATAAGTCACGATAGTTATTAATCCTATATCCCAATTTTTTATAACACACACAAGTATCAGAATGCTAATGAGTGATTGTGGTAAAATTTTGATATCATGATGCAAAATCGGAGCTGCAACAAAAAAGCCCTAAAAAGAGAAGAAAAAAGACAATGCCAAGCTAATACTGATTATCCAAGAATAAAGAGAACATACCTACATAACTGAAATGCTGATAATTATGAAGAAACTCTAGGATCAAAAGATACTGCGATGCAAAAGAAAATGCCAAATGGCAAAAAATTGAAACTATCTATAATGGGATTCCAATAGTTCAGGTAATAGAGATATCAAATACTATAAGAGAAGGAGTATTAAGATTATGGGGAATCGGAAGGAAAACAAGTCAACAATATAGTAAAGGTAAGCGAATTCTACAGAAAGAGAAGAAAATCTACGATCCTTATGCCACAAATCCATCAATGTCCTGAAACATAAAAGGAAAGTTCGATTAATCTTTATGACCAAAAAACGCCTTTGTAAATGTGACGCGAAATCTAAACCATACCTATAACTAATTACACCGAATAGTAAGGCAAGCCTCCATTCGGGAAATATTGTTCTACTAAGGGATAATCTGAAGCCTCCCCTCAAGAACGGAAAATTCTGCAGGATAGTAATGAGCATTAATCATAAAAGGATATAGTAATAAAAAGATAAATCAATGAACCAGGAATCAGTCAAAACCATAGTCAGATCAGAAGATAACGGTGTGCCGGATGCCGGATAAAGGAAAGATAGAATCCTTATCCTGGACGAATCAAGAATGGCTAAAGAACTTACCTTGCATTGTAATCATTCTACCTGAAATTCTGTCTTAATAGCATTCGATAACTCACCCTTAAATCCTAAAAGAACCTACAAACTAATTATTGGAGCATGGAATAATCGAAGATGAGAATGAATAAAGACCGGTCCAACAGCTCGTGATGCACTAAGCTTGATCGTATATAATGACCCTAAATAAGATATATCATAAACTTAAGTATCGAATGGAGAATCAAATATGGATCAGAAAAATACCAGAAAGAAGGACGGCAGAGAAATCAATGACCGAATAAAAACATAAGACTTCTGGAGAATTACCCCTCACCTAGAATCGATAAACGAAAATGTGAGAATCCCGTCCTACGAACACGGCAATACTTAGAAGATACTTTGAAGGAATACATTTACCTAACCGGGAAAATTTGAAAAGAACCGTCTATGATTATGTCATGTATAGCAATAAGCCCCAGAAAGCATGAGGTAAGCGGTATATCATGGTTATTACATGTTTCATAAGAGCGGCCACAAAAAAGCCACTAGGGGGTTATCATATTATCATAGTCGTATATACAAAAGGTTAGATAGTTCTTACATAAAGGTAAAAATAAATATATTAAAAATATTATAATCTAATCAATAAAAACCACTCATCAAATTTTTATGTCTCTCACCTACATTCATTTCTTACTTTCTGATATTTGTGTTGTGTGCTATAGTTGTGTGGTTTACGCGAGCTTATTTCTGAACATGAGCATTGCCCAAAAAAATAAATATGATATTAATCAAGATCTTCCTGATAATGATGACTCCGCCTCATATAACCAAAGTAAAGAAGAATTACAAAATATATTTTCTTATGGATTAAGTTCTACAAAGCGAGATTCATCCGTGTGGCAATATTTTGATAAAACAACAGTAGATAATCCAGGTTTACCTGTTTGCAAAAAGTGTAAAAAAGTATTCTCATCAGTAACTGCAACAACATCACTAAGACGCCATTTAAATATACATAATATAATAGCACCAAAGTGAGGACAAAAGCTCTTAAATCCAAACCCTCATTTGAAAATAGAACAGCAAGAACGAGACAATTTGGTTGTAAGATGGATTGTTTGTGACATGCAACTATTTAGCGTCATAGAAAGTGAAGAATGGCGAAACATGATTTCAAAATTTGATCCAAGATACCAATTTTCTAGTAGAAACACAATAAAAGATCATGTAATAAAGTTATTTCAGAACAAAAAAGATGAAGTTAAAACAACATTACGTCAAATTCCCGGTAAAGTAGCATTTACTTCTGACCTATGGATAGCATTAAATGGCACATCATTTCTAAGCCTTACAATCCATTATGTCGATTCGCTCTGGAAATTAAAATGTTTTCTTCTTGACATTATTTCAATAAGAGAACGACACACCGGAATCAATATCGCTAATGCAATAATGAATGTCCTAAATGAACACGATATATCTAAAAAAGCTCCAGCTCTAACTACAGATAATGTGTCTTCAATGATTTTGTGTGGTGAGCTTATAGTAGAAGAACTTGAAAAAAATTTCAAAAATTTTGATTTTTTCCATTATAGATGCGCAGCTCATGTGTTGAACTTGGCAGTCAGTCGGGGAATCGATTTGATTGATGAATCGATTGTCAAAGTACGATCTTTGATGTCTTATATCAAAGCATCGCAACCAACAATTAATAATCTAAAAAAATTATGTGAAATAAAAGGCATTAATTACTTGGCACCAGAACTAGACATAAAACACAGGTGGAATTCCATATACTATATGCTAGATAAGTGGAAAAAAATGGAGTCTCCTTTAACAATGCTTGCAGCTGACGATCAAATAGTTCGTCAAAAGTTTCCAGACAAAAATGATTGTACTAACATTAATGTATGTATTTTTTTTTTTTCTATTTGGTTTTTTTTTTTTTAATAAATTAATAAATCAGATAAAATAATCAACTAATTAAAAAAAAAGGATACGATAATTCTTTTGGAACCTATCGAACGTGCCACTCGACTTCTTTCTGCTTCAAGTTATCCAACACATGGTGATGTTCGATTTGTTTTTCGTGGCATTCAGAATCACTTATTGCGATACAAAGATGACGATAATTTTTCTCAAAATAAAATAGCTAATGCAATTTATCAAAAATTAGATAGTTATTGGCCAATATTAGATGAAACTTCACAAATTTCATTATTACTTGATCCGAGAATAAAATTAACAACATTCAAGGATGTAGATGAAAAAACAAAAGCAATAAATCTAGTGTCAAATCTTACAGGATATTCCCCAGTAGTGTCGAAGTCAAACACAATCTCTTCTAATGATCTATCAAATATGCGGCATTATTTTCATCAGTTGCATATATTTGATTTTTTGCAACAAAGAAATGATTCGGATTTCCCATTACAAATGAATTGTATACAAGACAAGTTAGAAAAATACTTGTCTTTACCTTTGGAAAATATGGTTGATCCGTTAATTTGGTGGCAAGAAAGACAACATGAATATTCAAGATTATGTTTGATCGCTAGAGATTATTTATGTATTCAGGCAACAAGTGTAGCTTCAGAGCAGGCTTTCTCAATTGCTGGACAAACAATTACGGCATCAAGAAATCGGTTGGATGGGGAAGTTGCACAGGCGATCTTATGTTTAAAGAGTTGGATTCAGGAAAAAATATGCGATTAATTAATTTAAATATTTAAAAATTTTGTTTTATTATTTTCATTAACGATAAAAAAGTACATCTTTTATATAAAAATATATTTAGCATCCATATGTACTAGATTGATGGCTATGTTTTTTTTTCAGACTTGTTCTAATAATAAAATAATAAATATAAGTATTTATCACACTAATGTTTATTTAATAATTTTTGTTTAAAACAAATTTTTATTAAAAATAACCTTTCACGATGTTAAAAAGCAAGTACAGTCAATTCTGGATATAAATAGAGTTCGGTATAAAAACAGTAAATTATTGTATAACGAACTTTGAAAAAATTTTTACTATTAAGAACCGTTAGTTCGATATAAAGAGAATTGACTGTATATGTCAAATTGCTCAATTACATGATGATCTTCTGTGACAAAAGACTATTTTAGGACCTGATATCAGACTGGATCGGGACCGTAATTACTATACAATTGGTCCTATCAAGGACTGGACCGGACTGGACCGGATCGATGCATCCCTATAGTTTTTCTACAAATAGATAAATTATATTGTTTTATAAAACTATAAAACCATGACCAAGATATTATAAATTTATTATTATTAGGATATTTTAAAATAAATCCATTTTTTAATAAATAAAGCATTTCTAATTTTACGATTTTTATAGAAATAGCTAAATCTTGTTTTTTTAATTTAATAATCCAATTTGTAATTTCTCTTCAACTAATGAATAATAAGTTTTTTTTCCAAAACCAATGTGATGATTATTATTTTTAACTTTTTTTAATTTTTCTTCATTTTTATATCATCTACTAATTTGTGAATGATTAATTTTAAAATATTCAAATATTTTTTTTATAGAATAGGATTTAATATAATTAATAACTTCAAGTTTTTTTTTTGCAGTATATGAGAAATGTTTAAATTTTGATATTTTGAATATAATATACATATGTAAAAAAAATTGTATAATGAAGTTTTTTCTATATTATATATAATAATACATATTTATAATTAAGTATATAATAAGTTCCTATGGGAACATAGTGTACTGATAAATGGCTAGCACTTCTGTAAGGAGATTGTGAGTTCAATACTGGATGATGGCAGTACAAACCTATAGAACCAATTCGCAGGGGTCATTATGGTAAGCGTTAGTTGCTTGACTATCATGATACCATCATCTAATGGGCCAGTGTAAAAAGCAGGAACCCATGTTTGGTAGTTCCTGACCAGTGACAACCTGGATTCAGATCTACCTTAATATGGAAAAATATGCTGTGAAGTTTCTCATAGGAGGTCTGGGACCTGTCGGAAACGTTAAGGTTGATCATCTAGGGGCTGGTGTGGCACCAGTAAGCATCAGTTGCCTGACTACTGGTACACACTGGAGGTGGCCATAACTATACCTGGGAAAAGTTCTATTCACGTGGTAGTAACTCTCCTCCCTTTAAAAGTTCCTATGGGAACATAGCATACTGGTAAATGGCTAGCACTTCTGTAAGGAGGTTGCAAGTTCAATATCAGATGATGACAGTACAAACCTGTTGGACCAATTCGCAGGGGTCATCATGGTAAACGTCAGTTGCCTAACTACCATGATATCATCATCTAATGGGCCAGTATAAAAAACAGAAACCCACGTTTGGTAGTCCCTGACCAGTGACAACCTGGATTTAGATCTACCTTAATATGGGGAAATATGTTATGAAGTTTCTTATAGGAGGTCTAGGACCTGTTGGAAATGTCAAGGTTGATCATCTAGAGGCTGATGTGGCACCGGTAAGTGTCAGTTGCCTGACTACCGGTACGCACTGGAGGTGGCCATAATTATACCTGGGAAAGTACTATCCATATGGTAGTAACTCTTCCCCCCTTTTAATGGGCCAGCCTATCACCATCGAAGATTACTAGTTTCGATACCAATCAACAAGATCACAATATAAGAGCATTCAGATATAAACTCCTCAATGAGGAATTGCCCACAAAAGTCAAGTTATATAAAAGAAAACCTGATCTATACAAAGATGGGAAATGTCCCTGGTGCACCTATCAGGAAACCATAGAGCATATATTTATAGAGCATTATGCAGATCAAGTCAGATCAAAATTCTTAAAAATACTGAAAGAAGAAATTTCAAGCAGAACAGAAACCAAAGGAAAACTCGACTGGCGCTGCAAGGTGGAAAGAATAGTAATGGATTCAGAAAGAAACCTTAGATATATAACCAAAGGAATTTACAACAAAAACCTAATCTTATTGATAGAACAAGTAAATGGTATGAAAACAAAGGATACAATAAGAAAGGTAACAAGCAGGATGACAGAAGTACTTCAAAAACTCTGATCAGAAAGATGTCAACATTTCCAGAAGTGGGAAGTTAGCAAAAACATCAGTAGAATTAATAAAAGAAGTAAGAGTAATGGGCACTTATGCAACAACCAATCTGGTATACAACCAATCTGGTATACAACCAAACCACCAAAGTGGGAAACAAGAAGAAATAGTAAACATGTAGCATAAGCTGCTAGAGAGCTGGCTGGATCAGGGAAATAATATTATTAATTTTAATTTTTATTATGCATATAATAACAACTCTAGCGGAGCCTTGGTACATTAGTCTTGACAAGTACCATTTGGACTAGTCAATAGCAACAAGCCGATATGAAAGAAATTCGATATAGCCTAATATGCATTTAGAATAGTTTATAGATAGTAACTTTTGTAAAAGAAGTAACAGATGTAAACTAAATAAAGCATGTTAGGCAAGGCCTAGCTAGTTGAATTAAAAAAAAAAAAAAAATTAAGTATATAATAATTAATTTTGTAACTATAAATGGTAAATAAGTTTATTCTTTATTTGGTTAAAACATTTGTTTAATTCAATTAAATTATCGTTATATATTATAAATAATATAAATTTACCTACTAGGAAATGGGAACCATTATAGGTCTGGAGCAAAAAATTATAAATAAATTTATTATAAAAAAATATATTAAAATATATATATATAAATTAAATATTTATATGTTATTAAAATAATGTATTAGAAATAAGATTATACAAGTTAAGTTAAATAAAAAATATATATAATTAATAATATATAAATATAAAAAATTAAATCTTTATTTTTATTTTTAATTAAATTACAATTTAAATATATTTATTAATTTTAATAATAATAATAATAATAATAATAATAATAATAATAATAATAATAATAAAATTTACTTGCTTTTTAATAAACTTATTAATGAAATTCTAAAATATAGATTGGTTAATATTATTATAATCTTCTATGCTTTACTCTAAATAAATAAATGAATACTTACTTTCATGTATTTCAAAATATCCCTTTTACTGGTGGTTAGTTGTATTAATCGATTAAGAGTATATATTTTCAAATGTAAAAAAAAAAGTTTAAAAAAAAAATAAATAAATAAATGTAATAAAAAACCTTCAGAGCCCTCTTCATCTGCTAAACATAACAGTAATAAAGAACTAGACCTATTTCCAGCAACTTTATATTTTCACACATCACTACTTTTTCCCCAATCTTCCTCATTATTTATTAAAAATCTAAGAAAAAAAAAGTCAAAGATAACAAAAACCAAAAAAAAGTCAAAGATAACAAAAACCAAAAAAAAAAATTGAAGGTAACAAAAATTGAAAAAAAACAAAAAAACAAATAATAAAAACTGAGAAAAAATAATAATAAAACCTGATAACGAAAACCAAAAAAAAAAATCAAAGATAACGAAAATCAAAAAAAAAAACTAAAATAACGAAAACCGAAAAAAAAAATAACCTGATAATGAAAAAAATATAAAAAAAACCTGATAACGAAAACTGAAAAAAAAAAACGAAGGTAATGAAAATCAAAAAAAAAATGAAGATAACAAAATCAAAAAAAAAAAAAAAAAACTGAAAAATAATAAAAACTGAAAAAAAAAATTAGCTCACCGAACATTTTGTATTATAGAAACGACTCATGTTTTCGCAAGCCTTAAGCAGAATGAAATACGTAAGTTTACTCATTTAAAATTAAAAATCAAACAGAAAATTATAGCGCATACCTTTTATAAGCATCAACGTTCGTAAACGTAATTTGTGCCTGGTTACACAATTGTCATTATAAGATCATATCGCTTAGCATATACTATCTTATCCTAAATTACATGTCTTAATTAGAATACAAATAATTATAAAAAATTATACTTATTTGATTTATCTAATTATTTCCATATTAGCTTTAATAAATCTTGTTTTTTTTTTTATACTAAAAAATGAATAATAAATATATTAGTAATGACATAATTAGAAAATACAAAAATAAAGAAAACGAGACAACCAAACAATATAACATATGTCTTATCAACAAATGTGGAAAAAAATGTCAAAGGAGATTAATGGAAAATGTTGAAAAGCATGAAAATTGTCTTAGTCAGGATCGTAAACGAAAAAAAAACAAATTTGAAAGGGAAACCCTAGAGGATCATGAAATGTGTCTTAATCATAACCGCAAAAAAAAAAAAATCTAGATAAAATTATTAAAGAACCTTAAAAATATTAACGAAAAGTATCAGAAACCAATCAGTCCCAAATTGTAGATCTG